TTTAAAATACTGATATAATTCAAAAATTGTGGCAGGGATGAGAGGATGATTTCTGCAAATCAGATTAATAACTCAATAATTCTTAGTGAATTTCGTGGTACATTTTGATAAAATCAAAAATAAAACATTAAATAATAACTGCCTTATTTGTTCACGGGAATTTTTTATAATGTTTATTGCAGGGTAGCGGGAAGCTTAAGAAAATTTTTATAGTTATAATTCATTATAAGTATATTAATTGAATGTAAACTAATGCATTATATTTATTTATATTATTTTCACTGACCACCGCACCTCCGCGTTTTCCGTCAACGTGTGCCCAGAAATGCTTGTCTGGTGAAGCGCCCGCGGATATCGAGGTGTCGTCGCCAGCAGAGGCGTCCTGTCACGGGAATTATTTTTCCTTTGCACCAGAAAGAAATTCCGTCCGTTGATATGATAACTGGTAAGAGAATAGAACATAGTGCGCAAGAAAACCTACATAGAAGGATAACTTGAACGGCTGAGGTACAGATTTTTGCTAAATTGTCATGATTTAACAATACATGCGTTATTCATACAATTTTTTTGATACAATTACAATATTTTTACCATCATATTTTTGAAGATTCTAAAGATACATTTTTGAGCGTTGCCTGTTCAGAGGAAACAAATATTAATTTAGCCTTTGTTAATTACATTTTCAAATAATATAGCATTTTAATCAAGACATCTCTAGAAATGCGAGGTGCCAGCTGAATGATTTTAATATCTCATGTCTACGCGGCAGCGCTGAAAGGTTCATTCCCGACGTAGATTAATAGAAGACGACCTCATTTTGTGGCACTGGATTCACAAGGATCCTTTGGAGATCCTGTAGGAAGGTGAGAAGTCTGACTTGTGCCTCAAGCAACTGCCACACGTCCTCATCAAAGGAAGTCCACGTCCAAAATCCTAATTAAGTCGAACTTCCTGCAAATCTCTTTACTGACAATTTACAACGTCGCTCAAATGACCAGCTCTTTCTGAGACGAGGGATCAGAAGTTGCGGCTACTGAACACCAGCGTCGCAATTAACCGAATATTGTGGCACGAATTCCCTGAAGGGGAAGACGAGTTCAGAGATTTTAGTTCGATGTTCAGTAATGCTCCTCTGCGATGAAAAAAATCTGTTCAACAATTTTTTCTTGTAAGAAATGCAATGAATTTACTTTAGTAAACGTTCCAGATTATTGTTAAGCAATGTGAACTTTCAATTGTGATAAATTATTTGGTAAATTTTTGCATAAAACTACTGAAATTTACATGGCATGTACTTAGAGTACATGCTATGGTGAAGACATATTGTCCGTATTAAAGTTTATATAGTATGCTGTGAGATTTAATTAAAAAATTTAGTATGACGTTTTATTCACATTAAATACCGCTGTCGTTTGAGCTCGAAGTTCTCCGCAGCCATGAATCCTTTCGCTAACGGGGATGTCTCCTGTCACGAGCACTCAGAGTTTTTCATCCTGGCAGTAAAGCGTCCTTCGAGCTCTTAATGAAGTCCTGCTCCAAGCAAATGAAGAAGCCACTCGCTCTGAACATCGCAAGATGCCGTGTCCTCCCAAACAAAATTTAAGGTATGCTTCAGGCTCTGCGACACATTCGCTGTAGTTGGGGGTTATTTTGGGTCTGCTTGGCCACTCGATTTCAATCAGTGACTAGTCAGAGTCGCTTTGCTGACTTTATAGTCTGCTGAGAGTTCGACATGAGTGGGCTTGACAAAGCCTACCGAGCCTATAAACTGCCCAGAGGCTGCCTTTCAAGCCCTCAGTGGAAGGCAGTGGGCAGAAGCCTGCCGGAGGTTCATGGGAGAGCTTGTCTGCACCTGAATTACTGAATACATATATGCCAGACTATGGTCGGTGTTTGCGCAAGTAATTGTTTTGCTTTGTTATTCGTCAGCATTCGTTTTCAATTGCTTAAATGTACTATTTAAACACTCGCTAGAGCTTCATATTAGCACTCCTTTCTTTTTAAAACTCTAATATACGAGAATCAAGTAAATGTTCAATTCGAATTTAATGGTGAGTCACTAGTACTATGATGGCGGCGTGTGGCAACTTGTATCTTAGCCAGGTATATCGTGCTAGGCAGGAGACATTATGATGTGGTAGACAGGAAACAAGGCCTCAGAAGGATTACTAGAATTTGACATCTGAACAACACCAGGGGCCAATAATATAAACTAAAAAAAGCGCGGTAACACATCGACGCGACAACACTTCTCGCTTCGCGTCGCCGACATGTGGGACTAAATTTTGTTAGGGAAAGCAAAGAGTTTGGCAAATTTCGATAGTTTGTGTATGCAGAAAAATTTTCTAAATCTAAAGCGGAAAATCAGAAATCGATAACGATTAGATAATTGCATTGAGATATGTTTTAATTTTTGATATTTTTGTAATTTTTAGACGCATTTGGACTACAACAGTTATGAAGTTTTTCATACATCTAAATAGCTATAAAAGAAGCTCTAAAAAGGACTCCTAATTCAATTAACTGTGATTTATATGAGTTTTCTATATTTGGCTTTCAAATAATGTTTCTTACAGCACAGTAGAGTACAGTACAGTACAGTACATAAACTGGCGGAAAAGCGAGTGAAACCCTCAAGAAAATTACACAAATCAGCGAGATTCCTGAAGTTAAATTAAATGAAGTAGAAAGGTTGCTACATTGATATATGTTTTCCCCAGCGCTGTGGGCATTTGCGAATGATGCGAGGTAGAAAGATCACATAAGCATTACTCTGTAAGCTGTTGTTAAATGCAATCATAGTTTTTTTTAGGTTATTTTCCATCATTAATCAAGCGTGGGAGGTTTCAGGCAGATTGATATTCTATCACAAGGCCGGATTCATATCACGTGATAAGGCAATCTACTGATCTTGCGCATTCATGCTCTATCATGCGGCCACACGAATGTGTAGTGAATGAGCGGTCAGTTACATTTTAGCGAAGTTTTACATGTCACATCATATTATCGTTGTCATACGAATGTAGTGAGTGGCTAGTTACATTTTAGCGAAACTAAACGTGTCACATTATATTATCGTTGTCANAGTGCAAATTGATTGTGATACACTTACCAATAATAGTTAGATACGGAGAAAAATCTAATGGCAGGTGTTGAATTAAATTTAATCTTGCACCTAGACATTCAGATTTCAACGAGGTTAGAAAAAACGAAGAGAATTAAAGTATGATTTGTTTATAATAAAATCCGGTAAGCAATGCGATACGATCCGTTTCTGTGCGTCCGATTTTATGTCTAAATGGGGGAATAAAATACGAATGAAGCAAACAAATATTTATTCAAATAACTGGCACGAGGGTATTAAGGCTTGAACCTATTCTAGGTTCTCGTCTTCCATGGTGCACCCGTTCGCACCAGTTCTATTTTAGCTAACGTTATAGTATCAAGTTGTAGTTATCGTTATAAGCAATCGTGATGATGGTTTTGCGGATTAAAGGGTCTTTTAGGATCACTAAGAAGGTAGCACGGACTGCTCGATCATGAGCCCGGAACTATGACAACCAATACGGATCACCTCCACGACCCACGCTAGTAGCAGACACTAGACGTTGGATAACAGGACGGTAGACGTCGGATGACAGGACGACAGACGTCGGATGACAGGACGGCAGACGTCGGATGACAAGACGACAGACGTCGGATCGAAAGCCAACGGACGTCAAGCAAAGTATGATGCCGTCAAATCCGAAACCCGAATATGAACGGTTAAACTTGAATGTGGATAGTTATAAAATACTTCAAAATACGCGAACACATGTGAATGTCATACGTAAATATCATTCGTGAACAGGCTTTTTGCTGTGTGGCTGAAAATGGAGAGAGACCATGTGAATCGTCAAAACTAGGCACATGATCAAACTGTATCGTGCTGCTTCCATTAAATATCTATTAATATGCATTCATTCGCCAAAAATAAAAATTAAGGTTAAATATCGTCCAATATAACTTATACTAAGGTTTCTGAAGCTAAGGAAGCATGCAAAAACGAGGCCGACTAGGCAGACTGCAGCAACACAAATGAAGACGAATGCGCGACCGTCGGAAATCAGCTACGCCGCTGTATGTGGTCACGTCTTACAAACAAGAGTTGCATCGTTTTAGTCAGTTTAATAATAAGAGTTAGCTTTACATATTGCATGTGAACTCTTACAGCGCAAAGTAGGAGCAGAGACTATTGTCGCCAATTTTCTTACTTGCAGATAACCAAACGCTTTTCGGTTAATGAGTGAATCAATGATGACTAAATAGTATTAAAAATTTGTTCATCTCAGCAGAAGTTTAACTCCTCGAAGTCTCGAGTTGCGTCGCTGTCTTCCTCTCGAGTGCAGAAAACATGGAAATATCAGGTAAGCTGATTTTGATTTGATCTGATAGCATTGTCAGAAAATTATTCTAATGTCATTCAACGATGCACTTAGTAATTTTGCACTCGCCATGTAGAAAAAAGGTTAATTCAAAAATTTTGTGTTAGGCATTTGAACTTCCGCGTGAAAATTGAGGAAAATTCTATTTCGCTTCTTTACCCAGAATGTTCAGTAGCCTATAATAAAAAATACGTCTATAGCTTAATCATAACGAGCGAAATCATGCGCTTCATATATACATTCAAAAGCCAATGTACAAGTAAAATAACCAAACAACTTGAGCACTTCAACTCTTGAAAACAACTCTTGAAAGCACTCTTCAACAACTTGAAAAATAATTCTTCATAATATGTTTTGAAGTAGTCACACACCAAGGATGACTGAGATACACATTCAGTCATTGTTTTAGTCGCAATTCACCACACTGACATTTGTTAGCCTAAATTATTAAACAACTCAAAACATTTGTCCCTAGAAACAGGCTACGTGAACAAAGCTGTCGATGTAAGCGATGTCGAATCGAGTTCTGTGGACGGCAGCTCCTCGCAGGTCTCAGTGACCGGCGCCAGTCTTACTAATAAGAACTCCGGTACCCTTGCCAACTGGGGACCCATCACATTTGTGATCTTTGTCATCCCAACCTCGTGGGCTGTCAGCAGGTGCTTCTGAACATAATTATTTTTATATGATGCTCTCAATACATTTATTGTTCCTATTCAATTTTAAACTTTGTAGTCTCCCCATCGGTATTGGAACCAACTAAATTCAAATTATTTTTTTTTTATGTTCATCATGCATCAGAATCTCATGGGTGTCCCGCTAGGGATAGAATTTCTTTTTTATTTAATGCATCACGATTAAAAGTCTAATCCACATTGCACAGCCGGCAGTCGAAGACACACGTTACTATCGCAATTTACACATACTACAGAAATACCACGTTAATTTTCCTGATCATCTTGCAGCAAATTTCTTCTTCTAGATTCTGTTATAATAGTTTGGAGATTTTATTGGTTACATTTAAACGACGAAAGATTGTACTATTGATACATATTAGTTAATGTTAGCATGCTAATACAATTAACTATTTTTCAATGTTCATTCAGATTTGGTTTCCGGTTCGTGACGGTATTTTATTCTGGTTGCGCCGCTTTCTCTCACGTCCTGCGATGCACAACAGTCAACGAGAAACTTTTCACGGTGTCAGTGCATTTCTTACTCTAAATGCAAGCTTACACAAGAATTTAAACTTCATCTCCGATATTTTGAAAGGCGTCTCTCTTGAAATCTGGTATTCATTGTAGCAGGAGTTTTTCAGTCATGGATTTTAAAATCCATAATGCCACAGGATATGATTTTAAAAAAAATCTATAACAACCGCAATGAAATTTGTAATTATTTAAATGTTCCTACTCATGTCAGAACTAAATTTTTGGCATCTGTTCGGAGGCCATTGACAATATTTCTCGCACCGAGAATATTTCATAAAAAATTTATGGTTGAAGTGCAGGTTTGCGCATATATGTGGCATCTTTAATGGTATCTTGGGAACGCTCCTGCTGGCCGGGGCAGCCGTTCCGGCCTTATGGTTCCCTGCCCACCAGCGCGTCACGGCCACAGGTATCTGCTCTAAATAGAAGTGAAAAAAATACTTATAATGATAGGAGTTAGGCGGTAAACTGAACTCAAATTCTGAGAGCTAAAAATTCGATGTAAAGTACATTCAATTGAAAATTTAAAAAGCTAAAATTTTAATTGGATATGATTGATTGGTACCGACATAATTCAATTGGAAAATATTTCAAATCACTCCTTGGATGACTCTTTATCTATAAGGCTGAGAATTTCTACCAGATCCCAATTTACGTGCCCGGCCCTTATAGGGTTGTTGTTGTTGTTGTTGTTGTAATTAAGTGGGTCAGCGACTCCGAAGACGCAAATAGCATATAAAATAGCGGCTCGATGTCCGCATTTTGCGGACATCGAGCTTATGTCGCTCAGCTTATCATAAGATTTGCGGAGCTTATGTCTATCAGACAAAAATAAGACGAGATTGCAATTGAAAATTTGATGCGAAAAAAGAATGAAAATTAAATTGTAATTATATTCCTTATGAACAGTTTACGCTCAAATTTCAATGATGAAGCTGTAGCCCTCTTCCGAGTGCAGTACCTGCCTATGTGTCACTCAGTAAATCCGTCGGCTGGTGAATGCGGCGATGATAATCTAATTCACATTTCAAAAGAGAAAACAGTGACAAATGCTCAAGGACACTGAACAGAGAAGTGTGAATTAAATTTTTGACTAGAAAGCATTTTTTATGCAGATTGTCACAATGAATTTCTTCTCCTCGAATGTCATTTTTTTGGAGGAAAATTAGGACGACAAATTCAATGTATCACTCAAATGATGCAAGTTGTTTCTACTGAGTGAAGATGCAAAGTAGTAAAGTTTCAAATTTTGCTTAAACTTTCAATCGAAATTTGATCGGTCAATCGGATAATCACACTCAATAATTCCTACATTTCGTTTTATAAAACTTTTGTTCTATTTTTGCCAGCATTTTCGCAGGTCTTGAATCAAATGGGGTCAGGAGCCAGCTTCATGGAGCCGCTCATTGTCCAGGCACCTGGGAACGACACCACCGTTGCAGAGATGACTAAAGACCTAAGAACCCTCATGATAGTAGGTGAGGATTTTGAATAGTGTATTTTATCATTGCTGCATTAATCTGCACTTCAATGCACGAAAAGATTTATAATTTACATCACAAAATAAAAAATTGTGATGTAAATTAAGCACTTTAATTCACTAGTCTATGCAATAGTGATCTGCACTTCAATGTGCTAGTCCGAACGCAGGTTCGAATAATCTCTGCTCGATTTAGCTTAAGTGGTCCACGAAAAGTTGATTGGTCCAGCTCGTAGAACACAATGAAATATTTCTGATGATTTGACAGCGATTTGAAAGTTTCTAATGCATGCATGATCGACTTATGTAGGTTTCCGGTATAGATGGCTCTCATCGTGACCAGGAAGTTAGAGTGGGATGTCGATTTGATCGAATAGTTGAACACTATTCTCAACAGTAAAGTTCGAGTGGCTCTATGTTTCAGATATCCATTTATTTATGCCTGAAAACTATTTCAGTTACCAATTAACGGCCAAAATTTGACCAGAGATGATAGTTGCGATGTGCCTCTTCTTGCTGGTACTCATCCACTTCCCATCCGCTCCTCCAACCCCGCCATCCCCTTCTTCTGCTGAGGACAGACTTGGCTTCTCTGAGGGTTTCAAGCAAATTGCCAGGCAAGGAAAATCTACTGAAGATCTGTGCCTAATAACAACATTCACATTGTTCATGTTATCTCATGTGGACAGTCATGTGATAACAGTAGACAACATCAAGTGATAGCAAACAAGCGACACTTTACTGGGTTCTTTGGAATGGCGTACAAAGCGAATGTTTTGCAGAAAATGTCTTACACAATCTGATATATTATATATTGATCCATAAGCGTTAATTTTTCAACGAATTTTCGAGACTTAGTAGAAATAATCAATTCAATAATCAGAAATCATAAAATGTGTGATCTAACATAACTTTGCATTCACCAGGAAAATATCATTTCAAACAAACGCCAAAATTTGTATTTTTACTTTTCTTCTAATTTCATACTTAATTTCGAGTCATTGACCAATCTCTGAGATAGTTCTATAATTTAACAACAGTTTTTATAATGAAAATTAATTATCATTTACAGGAATGCTCGATTCTGGCAGTTGGTCTTCTCGTACGCCATTTTTACCGGCGTCTCCATGGTCTGGCTCGGGGTCATCAACTTTTCTCTGCAGGACTTAGGCTTCGACCAGGTCTAAAGCAGGGCATTTTAGCTAACGCTATTATTTCACAATTTATTGGTTTGATTTTCTATTTTATTATCTCACTTAATCAGATTGATCGACTTACACATTTTTTTTCTCCCTGAAACAAAAGGCAGGAAAACTTCTTATAGCGTAAGTTCGCTTATAATAATTTCGCACTTAGTTTTATCATAAGTAGATAAAAATACTAATTGAATATGAAATTTCCTCACAGGCTGTAATTTGTCGTAAAAAAGTAAAGCTTTCTAAATAATGAAAAGGTAATGATTAAACAATTATCTGAAATAAGACGAGACAACTTCATAGAAAGTGAAGAAATGCCAACTTAATTCCAATATAATAAGCTCAGGACGAGGCTGGCTGGATCGGAGTTTACTGCAGTGTCTGCACCGGGGTAGTTTGCCTTGTGACGTCACGTGTCCTGGATCTTGTATACGGTCACCTCAAACTGGCGCTCATCGGGGTGATGGTGTGCAGCTCTTGTTTCTACATTTGGTTTATGTTGATATCCCTCGACGTCTGGCCTTCTACGAAAGGTATGCTAGCAATAATTTTACATCGGTTACAGTTCCTCTCGGCTTCTTAAGAATCCAATCAACTATTTTCCAAGTCTTATTATTATTGATTGCATCTTTGCGCAAACGCTATTGTTTATCATGTAGCCTACTCGTGCATGTAATGTATTTGTGTAATAATTTGCACGTTTGCTTGATAATACACAGCGAAGAAGTTTATATATGAAGAATATGAGCAGTCATAAAGCTATACATCGTTTACAACATAATTTTGGTTTCACGCCACGAACAACCCCACAGCCCAGGTCTACATCACCGTCCTGGGAGGCCAGTCCTTTAACTTTGCCAGCTCGCCGATTTTTTTCGAGCTGGCAGTCGAATCAGTCTACCCCAGCCCAGAAAACAGCGTTGGCGCAATTTTGACTCTTTCTAACAACTTCGTAGCGGCCCTATTCTTGTTCCTTTTCTACATTCCCTCACTATGTGCGTAATATTTTTTCCTAAATTTCTGAAAATATAATTGCGATATACTTTCTACGAGGATGATCAGGAAGATTTTATAACATTTATGCAATAACGCAGTTGTTCATAAGTTTTCAGTTCTTCTGGGTTCGATTACATCTCACTGGCATTTGACTCAACTTGATGGTCGAAGTGCATTTGACTGGTCGGCTAGTCGACTTGTCTGTTTTTGTTACTTGCATTGGTCAGGGGCATTTTTAAGGAAACCTAATCTGCTTGATCCATGGCATGAATGTCCAACCCAAAATGCTAAAAAAAGCGTATAGATTATTTTGATTATTTGAGTTTTTCTGCATTTAACTGTCTAAACTCTTAATCTCTACTGATTCCTCGTGAGTAACTTACATGTTTAATATTTACAGCTCAAGACGAGAACAACACATGGATGACGTACGTCTTAGTAGCCAGTAACGTCTGCGTCCTCATTCCAGTTCTGCTCTTCAAGGAGGAATACAAAAGATCCAAACTCGACAGAACGTCACTGAACGCAGCGTCCTAGTAATTCGTACATTTCCACACTAATTACTGAAATCTGTTCTTTTTGCGCTGGCAACTTACCATTCAAGGTAATATGACACGCTAAAAAGGAAGTAAAATTTTTCTCTTTTTGAGAAAAAATACGACGGATATCAGTCAAAATACGAGGCTTCTTTATAAAATCTAAATCTAAACACATACTTGGATGATTAGCTTAGTTTTTATTTTTAAAATCTAATAACGTCTCACTGCCACGTTAATCCAAACTTGCTTGACCAAATCCCTTCAAGTTAAATTCTTTTTGAAGAAGCGTGCCCTTCACTTCGGTACATCAATCTACAAGATGCCAAATATTGGATTTTACAGTAACGAAAATTTTTAAGTTCGACAAGTGATCGAAATTTTCAAATTGATTTTCCATTCTGGAAACTAGGTTCAATTTATGGTACACAATGTGAATATGATAACATCTACATGTACAAATATGATAACATAACATCTACATGTACAAATCCTAGAAATTTATTAAATATCGAATATGTAGATGTCGGTTTAAAAGACAGCTGCTACACTAGCGACTGGCGATAATGAATGAGTACAGCTTCCACTCTCTCGCAAAACAATTATCTAATCACATCCCGATTTTCAGTAGCACTTGCACCAAAAATGCAACTAATCTCTCCATTCGAACTAATGTTGGCAAGATAAACTTTAAGATGTAAGAAAAACTCTTGAAATTTCGCTATTAAGAATAATATTTATACTTCTAATTCCTAATGTTTTATGAGAATATTCTCATATTCCCGAATGATGCGCTTCTCTTGTGAATGTTGAAAACGAGAACTGCGCTGACTTCAAAGCATCGAGCAAAAGATGCGTTTCGTGGCCACCCTTCATCACGTCTTGTATATCAAGTGGCCACTAAATCAAGTGATGGCCACTAAATCAAGTGGCCATCTAAATTAATTCAATCTAAATTTATATATTTGGTGTGGCTTCAGTGAGCGGGTAGATTGATTTATTCAAAACGTGAGTTAATACGCGTCGCAGTTATCGGACGAAATAAGCTGTCAAATGAATTGAGATATAATACCAATGTTCGTTAGGTCACAATGAGTGATGGCATGCACACGAAACGCAGGTACAATTCTCCAGTAGGCTACCTGCTTGAAGTTTTTCCTTTAGTTCCTGCAACAAAAATTCAAAATTTTTGGACGACAGATTATTAGCAGTGACTACAGTTTTGAGATCAATTGATAAGTTAACTCAAATAAATTTTAACGGTTACATCGCTTTTCGCAACAAGCAGCAATGCTGCTATCATCTGTTGGTTGATAAACTATCTGTTGATTCAAAAATTTTGTCGTACGCATTTCATCCTGGATTAATAAAATCAAACGTCTGATCGTCATTCGAAGATCACGCCGATACCAGAACAATGTGGTCCTAAAATAATTTTAATTACGTTGAAAGAATAAAAATAGCAACAGAGTCTGTCAATTGTATGGGAATAATTTTTCCCTCAGAATTCTCTGGACTTTTGTTAATTGTTCACCATTTCTTGTTACAACTTAAGCGTTTTCATGACGAGATGCATGATTTTTCCAAAGAACAGAGTTCAAATATTGAGTTCCAACAACTTTCCACATGTAATTTTTTCGACCGGATCTTGCGCTCATAAATTTTAGCCACAGTTTCGCAAGCGAAAGCCTAGATGACTCATTGAGAGATTTTATTCAACAAGAAAGCAACATGTTGAAACCGAATTACACTTCTATTAAAATAGTAACACGACAAAGTGAAGGGAATGTATTCATATGTGAATGTCTTTGTAGCAATCATCCCTCCTTCTTGATTTGATCCACTAAAGAAATAGCTCATTTCTTCCACCTGGTTAGATAAATTTTGCCGATTCAGTTCATCACAGCTCTGTAACCGAAAAAATGAAATTTGCTTATTGGATTTCAACTCGGCATCTCCATAACCTCTGTGTACCTCGACAGCTTCCGATCCGGCATTAGCTACCTGATCTTTACATGTTAGACATACAGAAACTAATAACAGAATACTTACAAGGAGAACAGAAGTTCTAGATCTTGACGTGCGATAGCCGAGCCAATTCTAATAATAGTCATCAGTTCTAGAGCGAAGTCACTTACTAGAATAAATAACGCAATGCGATGTACAAGTAAGCAGCGCTACAGCAGAAATTTCACGACGCATAGGACGCATAGAAATTTCACGACGTCGTGCTCGGCTAAAGGATTGACATGTAACCGTAGGATTTATTTTTTTTGTTGTTGTTCTCATTTGGCCAAGACATAATTCCAAGGTTTTATCATTTTTTATCCGACTGATGCATCACAGGCAAATTTTGTTCCTATATACGTTTATTATTCCACATGCAGTCAGTTATAATATCAAATGTACCCGACAATATCTGTCTCTTCTGGACGTGACAATGAAGTTTGATTTAAAATTTAAATCAATTATCTGGAAAAGTAGCAAGATATAAGTAAGATTATGCTGTAATCGTCAAGTGCCGTCATACATAATTAGACAATGCATGCAGTTAAGCATTAAGGTTTGCTTATATTGAGTGTGATCAACCATTCATTCATATGAGCGCAGAATCCCTGACAAACTCTTATTCAGAAAGGTTAACTCAAATGACAAATCGCTGAAGTAAGCGAAACTATAAAAACCATTTACAATAAAAAAATAATATTTATGGGTTCAACTGTTGATAGCGAATTTTCGTTTCAAATGATTTAAAATATTTCAAACGAATTGTTTATTCTACAAAAGTTAGTATCGTTAATAAATTCAAATTTCTTATAATTTTCTGACTGCATTCTAATTTTAAACTAATTTTAGTAAGTTGTGACACTTGATTCTTTAGTTGACGTATCTGTTCACTGTAGATTGAGCATCTTCATAGTTATGGCCGCGACATTCTTAATTAAGGAATTCAGTTGTGCTCGAATACATTCTTGGCCGTGAATGGTAGCTTTTGATCATAAATTTTCAATAATCCCTAAAGCGAGGATACTTGGTGTGTGCATGTGGCTCGCAAAACCATCAAAAGGTGACTGTTCCCGCCTTCCAGTCGACTTCATAAAGTGATATTCATATGTTAATAAATAAATAACATAAAAATATTGCTGTGGGCTTGCACCAAAGTCAACTAGGCCCAAGCATCAGCGCGATCGTATACTTGTCATGGCCTGTGGTCGCCTTTCGAACCCATTCGTATCTTTTTTTTTCCGTAGAGGAAGTTAAAGTGCACTGTAGTTGAACATTCACTGTTCCAAGCTCCAAGCTTCACGGATCAAGACACGAAGTTCTAGTTCAAGTTCCGAATTCTGAGTTCTGTAATTTCCTCCGTCAAGACATGTTCCTCCATCTATCATGCGGTCTCATGAATGCAGTAAATTAGTGGCCAGTTACATTTTAGCAAAGCTATCGCCAAATAGTGGCCAAATATCTGTCAAACAAATGTAGTGAGTGAGGGGGGGGGCAGTCAAATTTTAGAGACGGGTAATATTTTCCGTTAATTTATCGTTGCGGAGATTGGATTGTGCAATTTTATTGCCATGAACTTTTTTGTAACATTTTGGTTCTGAAGATTATTAAATAGCATCTAAATCACGAGTTTAACAATAAATTATTTAATAACATACGTTAGCTCCAATGATTGCACTGTAAACTTTTCCAGCACAACGTAAAGAAATGAATGCATTTTGTGACCAGTTACAGAACTTACTAATACCTTGTCTAAAACGTTACCTGTCTGGAAATGAATCAATTCACATTATTGAGCATAAATAATTTGTTCATCTTGGCAAACATTTCTTTCTTCCAAATCCTTCGTCGCGTCCGTGTGTGTGCAGAAAGAATGGGAGTATCGAGTAAGAATATGTTTGTTTGACAAAATTTATGAAATTAACATTGTCGTACATTTTAACCGTTCTTGCACGGCGCACCTAATAATTTTCGCTCGTCTTAGAAAAATGTATGCACGACATGTTTGTGTGATGTTTCCTAGACCTCGCATGGAAATTGTACTCCGCGTCTTTGCACAAAGAATTCATTTGAATGTAAGTGAAATAATGACGATGAGGAAATGGGAATGAAGCAATGCGTATAATAGTATGAATATTAGACACGGTTTTGGTACAAACATTTACTGCGAAATGCTCAGCATCACGTTTTTATTCAGAGATGAAAGACACGAGTAAAATAACCTGAAATAGAAGAGTAAACTCGAAAGCTCCTTTTCACTCACCCGAAATTTTTTATAGTCGGAATTTAAGGGACAAAAATAATAAGAATATTTTTGGAGTAGTCGCCCTTTGAATTTGGTTGAGACCACACATTTAATCACTGTTTTAGTTCAAATTCAGCACGCAAACATTTTTGAGGCTGAATTACACTAAGCAGCAAGTTTCATGAATTTTTAGCGCATTTTCTCATTTATGTAAAAAATTCACTATTGTGCTCGCCATGTCCGTCCGTCTGTCCGTCTGTCTGTCCGTCCGTGACTTCACGTTCTCGTCGACGAGAAAATGCGCTCTCTGTCACTCACTGCAGTGAGTACTGAGTTAAATTTTTTTTTGTATTGGATATGTGGAAAATAATTTAAAATGATTCGGGTCAGTGGTATCCTATTTGGCGTTTGTGTGCAAGGGACGTTCTTGTTTAAGTAGAAACAGGCGAAGACAGTAAATGTTAGCATTTCTCGTGCGTGTAAATTTTGTGTATTAGGATTTTTAGGATGTATTAGGATTTTTGTGTATTAGGAATAATTTTTATGGTTAGATTCATTAGCGATTTATTTACCCGCCTGGCCTGAAAAAACGACGAAACGAAGATGGCTTTATTTTATTTTTGTTTAAATGCGTCCAGAGCAAGATTATTCGTCGATTATTGCGTTGAAGAAACTCGTGTTACTCTAAAATTCCGACCAAGCGTATATCACAGTTCCCCATATTCCTTCTGGATCAATTTTGTAAGCAGTAAATTTCTATTTGAAACTTCCATCCCTATAGTTTTCACCCAATTTTCACCTCAACCTTCTGCGGAAGAAACAGCGACCAAAATTGTTGACTTTTGTCATATTTCCCTTCAGGGCCCGCCACCAAAAGGCTGCCGCCTAACACAAAGCAGCCCTGACAAGGATATTAAGCCTTCAAAACCAAGACAAAATTCTTCACTTTTTTAACGGTCTTCAGCGACCCGCCATTTACTTTTAAGCTTGGATTTGCTGTGCGGGAATTTTTTTCGTTCTTTCGGGTGCCAGGAAGCCCATCTAAGATGCCTTTAACGATAAATTTTGGGGATCTCGCGGAAGAATTTAGCGTGGAATGTCTAGTGTTATACTGAGCGTTTCATCGATGGCAGGAAAGGTCAATCTGTCGGTTTATGTCCTAAAACTTTCACTCGTCGCGCGGTTCAAAATATTTTGTCTTCAAAGAGAAAATAAAAAAATAGGACAGTTGAGCTCTCTTAAGTGATTTGAAGGATAAAATTTCAGAAGTTAACATACATTATCATTCGATACACTCCTCCGCATTTCTTAGTTCTTTATAAAACCCTAGATACGTCTACAATTTTTTGCTTCATTTAATTCGACAGTTTTGCTAAAGCTAAAACAGCTTCGTCGTATGAGTCCTAGAGTTTAAAAATTAATCGCAAAATCTGAAGTGAAATTCAAACACATACCAATTCTATTTATTTCAGTGACACACAGTATCATCTTCTGAAAAAAATATGTAGTAATTATTAAAGAGGCAACGGACAGTGTTCGGACATCAACTTACCTCTCCTAGAATATATAGCATGAAGAGCATAACTTAATACAGCATGCAGCACCCTCTGGAATCATACCGCCGCGATGTTCTTCAGGAATTCAATTTCGTTCGTAGATATTTTTGGGTAGGGCAATTTTTTTATCAAAAAATCCGATGATCACTGAAGCGACGATACACTGAAAGCGACGTCACTGACAAGCAGAGCTCGACAAAGCTATCGCATCGCTGCCACGCGCTGCAATTGTTCCTGCGCACATGAAGGCCGGTGATCTTCAAAAGGATCACAATTGCGGCACAAAGCACGTTCGAAATGACACTCCCGCCATAGCTCTGTTCAGTAGGCGGACTTCGAGTTTGGTAATTGTCGGTTAAATTGAGGTTGAGTTCATATGCTCAAATATTACTGTATTACTTTTCATGAAAATAACTATGTTTAATTATTGGCAATAAATATAGCTTCCACGCTTTCGAGCTCCGTTTGAAAGGAAACAATGTATTCGTTTAAACTCATAAGCCGTACAGTATGTATAATCAGTAAGAACGGTAACATATGAAATGTATAAGATAAAAATGAAATATGTAAACATATTTTTATCTTCGTTACTTAGATGTAGTTGGATCGTTACATAAATTTCCTTGTTGCAATCTATTTTATAATTTTTATTTTTTATAATTATTGCTTTTAAGCAATAATAATAGTAATAATTTTAATTAAACTAATTTGCAGGTTCATACATATTTCAGATCTGTCTTTGAAGTTTAAATGATGAACACAATGTATTTTTTTTATTTTTGAGTTCACGTTAATGAAGTCAAGACTGACAGCGATTGTCCTCAGTATTAGCTAATAAAAATATACCTATGTTTTGCTATGGGTTATAATCTTTTATAAATATGATACTCCCCTCTACGCTAGTGGAGACGATGTCTTTTAGCCAGCAATCAATTTTCATCATCTAAGTCGCTACCGTTTATCTGCAAACCATTTAGCTGTTTCCACAACCTTGCAAGAAATTTTGCTGGTGAAAAACTTCTTATTAACATTTGTTATCAAAGTGCCAAAATCAATTTTTTGCTCGAAGAAATTTTGTGGTATTTTCTTTGCTTTTAAATTCCTTGTTATCAAAGATATTATTTGTACTAGATGAGCGAATGCATATAGCTCTGGTCAGTGCATGAATTAGATATTATTTTTGAAAGGACTCATTTAAGATTTTATATCGAAGTTTAATACACTTGAAGCTCTGTTTCGGCTCTGAAAGAATTAAAAAAAATGTTTTCAAATAATTTATGCAAGTTTTTCCATTTCGACCATTCAGAGTTTTGCTAAATTTTTCCTATTATTCATTAGAAATCAATGTAGTCAGGTTAAGTTGCTTTGCTTAGTTTAGTCCACGCATGTTCTGGCTGCTCTGAATTTTAAAACGGGCCCGACCCGACGTAGGAAATTACAGAGCAGTGAAGGTGGCACGAGTTCCCTCAGCTCAAAAGGCGCAAACCGGCACCGTGAGGCTGTCAAGTGTCTCAAGATTTGTGAACAGTCTTTGGAATTAGGGAATGAATGCATTACTTAAATATTAACGGAAAAATTCACTTAGAATGTTAATGAATCTGAAAAATAAGACGAAAAATTATTTGAGTAATTGAAAGAATGGTATTAAATATTACAGACATCACATTCAACTCAGATTCATCAGTGAATGGTGAGATCCTTCTATGATCTGCTATACTTATAGCTGCATAAAGTATTCACCATTAATTACCTAGTAAATTATTCACCAGCTGACCAAATGATCAGAAACTTGGGAAAAAATATAACTCCTATGTTGACTCATTCTGAATCGTGAACCTGATTGTATTTCCGAACTAACATTGCACTCCCTAGTCTCGGCACCTTCATTAAATAATTCTCTTTGCAGCTAACGATCCATCTACATTGAAGGGTCTTTAGAATAGCTCGTAACATTAAAAATTCACAGCTCTTCTAATCAGTAACATATTCTCTAATTTAGCCCACAC